TTGTGTGCCGCAGTAACATTGAAAGAAAAGACAGCAGGTACCTGTAAAAAAGTCATAATAATTATAACCACAGGCTTTCTTTCATTCTAATAGCTGGAATAGCGACGTTGGCTATTCACCTCTAGAGACCGGGTAGTCCTGTGCGCTGCTCCCTCTATGTGGTGCATTTTACCAATGCTAGTTTTTAGTGGGAATTGGGGCCACTTTAACTGTGGTCTCCGTCCCCCTGTCCATATCGACTGTTGTCATAATTGGCGACTCTAGTTGTTCCAAGCCTTCAACGTCTTCTGTCAAATAGGTTTGCGAAGCCGAAAAGGGAGGAGACAGTGTCAGTCATGATTAACTGACCGATTTCTGGACATCCAGACGCTTTGTACCTGTCTCGATTTTTAGCAATCGCCTCGGTCTACATCCTTAGTGGCTTCGTAGTTGATGTGCCCAATCTGCGCAACACGAGTTGATACTCCAAACTGTGAACTTAACCTTCGGGCGGCCAAGTGGTACTGATTTATTTAAGTTTGCGGACTTAAGCCGATTTTGTCGGCTTAATTTTACTCCCTACATTTGTGCAGACGTTGGTAGCTAACCACCGACATCTTTAGCTGGGACAGGACTTTTGTCTATATCACTTTCCGGTAGATTTCCGAGCCAGACCGGCGAGAAACTCATATTATGGGTAGTACAGGGGATTTGACAACGGAGCCAGAGGCTTTCTTTTGTAAACAGAGTTTCTTGAAATGATTTTGTATGAATGAATCCTTAATCCGGCTCACTTTTGGGCATCCCACTCACCTGAACCAATAGGCGTGAAAAATTGTTGACTAAGGGAACTTCTTGAAGATGCTTAATCTCGTTCAACCTGACAATTAGCCGGCTACAGCGAGTCCTTATCCGCCAGTATAGCAGCTTTGTTCGTATTGCAACGAGTGGTTGCCGTTGCAATCGTCTCACTTCGAGGCACGTCTACATGTAGACATGAAAATTGATTGTTCCCGAAGCTGGGGCTACTAACCACAGGCACATGAATCATGAGAGCGGCCACAACTGAATGAAACGAAAAAATAGTGTCAGTTGATCTCACGACACGCTTCACGAAAATATCTCAGGCTCTCGTAATTGAAATATCCAGTGGCCAGCTGAGTGGACGTTACGATGAGAATGATGGTCAACCAGTAAGTCGGAGTCTTCTAAAGCTCGTGGGGTACTGCTTTAAAACAATTACATATTTACAGTGACCGGATGCAAAGATGTCAAAGGCGCCCAGATGAGTTGACCAATCTCAGGGCTAACTGCTGAGGTGGATTTCCAAAAGCTTGAAAGGCAATTAGCCGAATAGCACGAAATCGCACTGTGGACATTTTAATCTGGCGACACATTGGCAGTCACCGGCTGCGATAAATTTAAAATTAGAGAGAACAAGTAAAATAAATGTATCCAATCAACAGCTCTCAATGGGGGGGGGGAGGTAATGAGGGACAGATCTGAATTAATGGATGTGTTCGTCTGCCGTCAACAGGAGATAAATGATTAACCCAAACATGAAGGTCACAAAAGAATTTTTTGAGTACTTTAGGTCGGCTTCTAAACTAGTGACATAGTTTTGGCTTGAGACGTTCTATGCAAGAAATATTGATACACTTGAAAAAATGCTACTGCATTTTGTCAAGTACATATTGGTCTTGCGTCAAGTTTCCGGCAAGGGGTCTTGCTGATCGGCATCGACCAAATGATACTAGAATGAAGGATATATGGATATCTTACACCAGCCCGCATTTGAAGAGTACATTAAAGTGCTCATACAATTTAGAAAACCCGAAGATGTGGAAATCCACTAATTACCCCCACTCATGATCACAGCTCAGCACTAAGGCTGACAATTAGGAATGAGAAAGCTACTTCAATTCACAACTTTTGATTGTGTATTAGCGCGGCTGCCTCAAAACCTTGCAAAAGAGATAAGATAACATTCGTTCTTGCCCAACTTCAGAACGACATGCATATATAGGCGAAGTCATTAGGTCACTGAACAGATAGAAGAGTTACGGTATTCAGCCACCAGCAGCACAAGTGCTGGATCAGTTGAAAAATCCTTGCAGCTTTCTGTAAAGTCGGCTTGTGTCGGAACCCGGAATGCTGATTCTTATAAACCATTGTTTAACCTGTTTGGAAGTTCGGTCAGAGAAGACTCCAAGGACAAGTCGGTCAAAGTGGGGGCTTCCACGGAGAAAACCTGAAGCTTCCACGGCATCCAAAACTCTATCGAACTATTTGCGCACTGTGATTGACCCAATAAGCTGGTGAATTTGTTCACAGTAAAATTGTAGTCGCAAGTTCGGAGAACCGGTCCCAGAGCGTCCAGCACGCAATAAACCTTGATGACCACCCCTTGTTCTCCTTGGAAGCAAACCTTTGTTATGTGCGGCGTGCGTATTGTATTGAAGTCGTCCTTCTCAAGTGAAAACCACCAAATCAATAATGAGACTCGCAGCAAAAGATAATCAAATAGGACGACACTTTCACCGAAGCCTACAAGTTCTGGCTCTAGGTTCTGTAGTCCTGGCCCTATTCAAAAAATGAGCAAGAGTGCAAAATAGAGATCACTCGAGGTGACTGCACCTCGGCTATCCTCGTGTCTGCTTCGAGAACGAAGATAGAGTACATCTCGAAAGCTATAGCCTCATAGCTGCCATCAACATTGCGCCAACTACCTCTGCCACTGATAATCTCCGGCAAATTTACTCGATAGAAAAACCAAACCGGACCGGCGTGTATGCGTCGAGTAAATATCCACAGTGCGGCCTATTAATAAACTCAATCATACCTTCCAGCGACTGATAGTCATGTGTCTCGTTGGATTAACTGCAGCCTTCGATTCCGTCCATCGTGTGCTACTGTGGGTCTAGGCGGGGTATCGCGACCAGGTATCACTCTGATCAAAACCACTTATTGCCCACTGCCGTTCAAGATCTGGTCCATAACGGTCTCCCCAATCCGGTGGATAGTAGGTCTGACGTTCCATAGAGTAACAACCTCTCTCCACTCACTGGCTAACACCTTGGAAGGGCAAACCTTATAAGATTGGCTACGCCGCCGCCGCCGCCGCCGCCACCACCACCACCACCACCACCACCATCATCATCATCATCATCATCATCATCATCATCATCACCATTACCATTGTCGGCCCTGCTCACAAGGTTTTTGAAAGACTTGTAGATGAAGTAGATCTGTTGCGATTTCTCCGCCGTCAAAAATGGTAAATTTTACTGAGTATTACTTCGATCATTCGTCGGTACTGTTGTGGATGCCGAGTTCTGAACTTGCAGGTTGATCGAGAACTGAAAACGCCAGATATTTGAAAACCGTCGTTGGAGTGACTTACACTTACTCTCTTTGGAATAAGCTGGTGTGGACTCCCTTTAGATAGGCTGTGAGGACGCATGATGTTTTCCGAATGGTTCGGCTACGTTTTTGTCGCCGATCCTATGATTTCGGTGTTGCTGCACGTAAGGCAGTGGTGCCGCTCGTTTGGAGGCGTAAGTTAGCAAGACAACTCCGAACTTGGCTCAGCTTAGAGACACTTTGTCTATTTATTGAATTTCACTCTTTTGTCTCCGTTGATGCACAGTTAAGTGTGCCGAACACTCCAAACCTGCTGCAGACATTCGGACTTGAAGATGTGCAATTCACGAGCAGTATTTAGCATTTGGTAAAGAAGTGATTTTAACAGTATGAATTGCATTTTGTATATGCGACCATTTAACTTGAGCCTTTTTTCTGGGCAAACGTACAAGAGGGATGGCGGACCTTACGGTTCAATGAAATCAACAAGCTAGGCCTTCCCAGCTGCTAGTGTTTGCAAAACGCCGCACCTTCGGATAATGCGGCCAAATTTAGGAATATAAACTAGTTGTGACGTGTTTTTTGACAAACAGGTTTGATTTAGGAGTTCAACTGATCACCCTTTTTATGATAAATTCTGGTTTTATGATTGCCCGACGGGTCTTTTCCAGGCTGAACGGCTATTGTCCATGTTGAGCCGGAAATCATATAACTGCGTGAAGAGGGAACCTAGTCTTTCTAGCCTGCGGAATCCAGCTCAGGTGACTATCATATTCGGATGACGTGATACGCAAATTTTCCTTCCTGACACTGCTAAGAGCAACTTAAATATGCAGAAGCTGTCTTTTAAATGTTTTAAGTATATGCTCCGGGAAAATTTGAGAGTCATTTGATCCGCTATTTGCTGAGACGCTGCAGTCTACAAACTATCACCAGACATCCCATTTAAAATTATACCAATCCACTTTAGGGAGATGTAAGAGGTTTAATGCAGATTATGCTGATATTTGATCCCACAAACTAGTTTTTGTTGAGTAGTTGGATTTATCCACATAGTTAGAATGTACTCTGAGGATTCGTAAGCATGAGGTCGTACAAAATATGCGACAGGGGCGTGGTAAATTTGATGCCCGAATAGTGTAGGAATCCGGTTTTATTACAATGTAGGACATGCTTTGTTCATGCATGTTTGGATGTTGTGGTTTATACTGCTAAATTGCAATAATAACTTTAGCAAACCTACAAAAGAGAGGCTTAGAAGCATGATCTTTGCTTGGCTTTCACTCGTTTAGATGACGCTTTAAGTGAAACGTAAAATTAAATTAACTTGTAATCTTTATCCTCACGAGCTATGGGAACACTTATTTAAATTATCCGCGTCCTTTTAGTTTCATCCTTAAGTTGGAGGTGCACAAAAGCTACGCACAAGTGGGTGGAAATTCGAGCAGAATGGCGAAGCGTAAACAGTTTTGCCTGACACTAAGGATTCCAGGGGAGCTGTGTTTAATCAAGAACGCTTTTGGTGTAAACTTTCTTCTAGAATACAAACAAGTAACCCAGGAGTCACCATTGAGATGCTCCTTTCCAGACAAAAGAAGAAGTGCACTGGGTTCTTGAGGAGCATTCACTTATCCTGGAAAGAATAATTAATGAACAGCATGATGCAAGTGTCCGTTTCAAGGTCAAGTTACTTCCCCATAATGCTGGAATTTACAGGCTCAGAATTTTTTCGAAAAGTTTGACGGTAATTTTAAAGTGTTGCCTTCTGAATATGGTTTAGGTAGATAATGAGCGGCTGGAAGCCTCATCTACTGGAGAACTCAAGGAGATCCTTACCGTCGTGTTTGATATACCGGAAGGATGTGAATCGGCTGTTACTGTACCGCGTACGCTGAGCCACATATGGGGTCCCCTTGGTGAGTTATCTAACGCGGATTCTTAATGATTACGCCATGCTTTAAAGACATTCCAACGCACTTCCGAGACGGGCCTTATATTGATGCTGCAGTTGTAAATCAGAAGAGGGGACACTTAGTTTTGTACACAAGGAGCTTCCCATTCCTATTTCCCCTTGTTCTACAGAGAACAAAAGCGGACATCGACTTCTTCACCAAGGTAACGACTGTCTTTAACAAGCATAACTTTATTTATTCTTCACTGAACGTCAGAACTAGGGCAGGTGGTTTGCTAGAATTAGTATAATCAATTATACTCGTGGATGACACCTAGGGCAATCGCAAGAGTTTTTGTTTATTCCAAATCAAAACGAGCGGATGTAGAAACTGTCACGCCAACCGAACCAATTGCAGGCGACTTAAGCAGTTATCTGCAAGTGCTGTCTTCCCTCTCTGGACCTCACGCCCTGACTTGCGATATCCGTTAAGCTCTGCCGTAGAGGAGTTTACTTGACAACTACTTCGCACAGGCGAGTGTAGCCTAAATTTTGCCCACCAGAACGACTCGTTGGAGGATTCCGCCGAATCTCAGTATATGCAAAAACTAGGAGGGAGAAAGCGCAGAGTTCGGTTTTACTGAGGTTTTTAAAGAGTAGAAAACCCATGTACATGCGTACATGCGTAACATTTGGCTGACTGCCAAAGAACGTGGCCGTAATCACAGCAGACCCTTCGATCAATAAAAGTGCGGGGTATGGAGTTTAGACGATTGACAAATGGACGAACATCTATCGGAGAGCAGACATGAAACAACGAAAACCGGAAGCATGAGGCCGGGTCGATTTCAAACTTGATGGTTCTCTCTTCAGTCATTTAGCCCTGACTAACACTGGAAACCAGGTACAAACCGATTCATGTCTACAGGGGGTGTAAACTATACACGTAAGAAACACAGTTCCAGCAGTGCGTCCCTTAAGAACGCGTGAAGAGATTTAAAATGGCTGCTGTGCCTGTCTCCACTGTCCTTGTCGTTAAGTATCAAGTCGATTTTTTAAGTGGCAAATAATCCTCTACTTTTATGGTCCTTTCTAATGAAGGATAGAGACAATTTGCCCTGACAGGCTAGTCAGGTATCTGGGCGTCCGTTCTCACCCGTTTTGGATATTTTTCTCCATCTCAATTCTAGACGTTTAAATCCAATGAAGCAGAAGACAGCCATGCTGAAGTCCTTGTAAATGCAGTGGACCCGTATTTGGAGTACGAGGACGAATCCGATCGTTATTTTGAGTATACGCTGAAGTTTCTCGAGTCGGGTAAATCCAGTCGCACATAAAGACTGTAGTTTTGATATCTCTTTTTTGTTCCAACGGATTCAAATTGCTATTGCTGCAGTCTTCCTAAGACAAACAATTTTTTGTATTCGTCAACCGCACTGTCCATGTACGACTGGATGCTACTTAAATTGCCCGTTATCTACTTTGACAAATTCTAATGAAGCAAGCAAATTATGCAGCCAGAAAAACTTCATGAAATCTAACAGAACAGCCATTCACACAGGGGAACTCATTCTGTCCTGCCTGGCTGCATTTGATACGGCTTCGTTTAGACAAGGCTAGACCGGCCTAAGGGATATCACGGGTTGTGGCTTCCAGCGTTCGACAATCCGCAGCAGTGAACAAAGGGAACCAAGATTAACTTCCTAACGACGAAGGCCCAACATGGCGTATCCAAGAGCTGCTTCCGTACCTTGAGTGACCGTTTCCATTCCGAATTTTGGCTAAACTCATCATCTTCATTTAGACGGCATCGCGTTTAAGGTAGCTGCATTGGACCCATAGGGAGAGCAGTATGTGACGCACTCAAAAAATCTGAAATATCCTTTGCTAATTGCCTCATACCTCCTCAGAACTCCACTGGCTAATTAAACTGCAAAGTCAAGAGAAAGTAGGCGTAAGTCATTCCAGCGACGGTTCCCAAACATCTGACGTTTACAGGTCTCACTCAAGCCCCAAATTCAGAACCTAGCATGCACGACCGTACGAGAGAATGACCGAAGTAATACTCAGTACAAGTTGCCATTTTTGACGATGGAGATATAGCAACAAATCCGCACCATCTAAAAGGCATTCAAAGACCTTGCAAGCAGGATGGACTTTGGTAATGATGATGATGATAGTGATGATAATGCTGGTGCTGTCCGTTTGTCGTCGACTTCGTTCCGAGATATTTGAAACCGTTCACTCTTTCATATTGCCAGTTTCTAGCCCCAAAGAGCACTTTCGTCTCCGCGAGTTTGATAAAAAAGCTGATTGTCTCAGCAAATTCTCTTCGCTGCAACTTGACGCTCCAAGGGTCGTAATAACTTCGTATTGGCAGAACAGGAATATAAGTACAGCTAAGATTTTCGGACGGTGTCAGGAAGCAAATTCAACAACACTAAATTCCCACATGGCCTTTCCAAGATGTCAGCCGGTCGATAGAATTTTCAGCTGCTGTAGAAGCTTCAGGTTTTCTCCATGAAAGTCCCCACTTTGACCGACTTGTCCTTGGAGTCTTCTCTGACCGAACTTCCAAACAGGTTAAAGCATTGTTTGTAAGAATCAGCATTACGGGTTCCGACACGAGCCGACTTGACAGAAAGCTGCAAGGACTGTTCAGTTAATCCAGCACCTGTGCTGCTGGTGGTCGAATTCGGGGACTCTTCTATCTACTCAGTGGCCTGACAAATTCGCCGATATGTTCTTATCGTCCAAAATTCGAGCAAGAACGAATGTTAACTAATCCATGTTACATTCACACGTGGATGTAAGGTGTTGAGGCAGTCGCGCTAATACGTAATAGAAATTTGCGGACTGAAGTTGTTTTTTTCCCACAGTCCGCCTTTGTACTGTCGGATGATTATGAGCGGAAGTAACTACCAGATTTTCATGTCTTCAGGTTGTCTAAACTGTATGAACACTTCAATGTACTCTACAAATGCGGATTTATGTGTAATATTAATGTATTTTTAATCCGGATGCGGTCTCATCTATCATCAAATATGCTGTCGACACCGACCGACGGGACCCCTTTGTTGGAAATTTTACGCAAGACCTATATTTACTTCTTATGATTAAGTACCTTTGCTTTCAAAATTTTTGTCATGCTTTGCGTCGATCGCCTTGCACATGCTCACAGGTCACGGAGTTAAACGCAGACGTCTAGAACTCAGCGGTTTGCTTTTGCAAGTTGCTGTCGTGGTATCACACAGAGTCGTTAATCTTTTAACACAGTACATACTTTGTCAATTCGACTTTCACGTGAAACCTGAGTGTACGTATTGAATAAAGAGTAAGTGGAAAGAGGGTGATTCTCAACCCGCTGCCCTTAACATCACCATTTGTTTTCGTTTTAAACGAGGCAACTTTTGTTAAAAAGAAAAGGTCGTCCTTTGATCTTATATTTGTCAAAATTTTAAAACGCATATTCAAACACTGTAAACCAAAATGAGATGTTTTCCCCATCTAACGAAGTCGCCACTTTTTGCAACTTACACGTCGCCTTCCTGTTTTCGGCGATTAGGTGAAATGGCCGTTGAGGCAATAGAGCGAATTTATGTTAGAAACCGCCAGATAACATAAGTGAAATGTAACTCAAAACTTTTATTAGTAGAATTCCAGCAGTGCTTTCAGAGTATTTTCTTCAGCCCTCCAGCAAACGTTCTTAACGCTGAAGATGTGATTTTGCAAATAAGCGTCATATGTCTGACACGTTGAAAAGTTGAGTCAGGCTGCGTTGTGACACTAACTGGCCTCCTAAGTTCGGATCTAGATCGCAGACCTAGTGAAAGGCAGACGCATCTGTGCCAGCTTGTGTATCTGAACTAATGAATAGGCCTGGGGACAACGGGGCTCGACTTTATAAATCATCACCAGCATGTTTTTAGTTTTTCTGCGAACTTTTTGATTTTTGTAGGTCACTTTGTTAATCAGGTTTTTGCGACGAAGAAGTGGAAAGACGAGGCAAGTGGCCGCTGGAGGCGAGCTGTCCAACTAATTGGTCAGTTTCTATTGGATATTCGCCAAGATGAGAAGGTATTTGGTGTTATTTGACGTTACATGTACCCAACAGGGAGCCCCTCCCACAGGGACGAATGATGAAGAAGTGATCGGCCATCTGGAAATTCGGAGTAGCTGCTGACTAATTTTATCGAAGAAGTCAGTAAAAATGTGGTATCAAAATACCGGAAACAGCAGCGAGCTAAGGCATGGTTTGTTCCACTTGTAATAAGCTAACACTTAAAATGCAGAACCTGAAAATCCTGCACACCTACCCAACTTATTTTTTTTATTTGCGTGCAATCCAGTAAAGTTTGGACAAAAGAAATGGTCAGTCTCCTTTGAACGTGAGATAATGACCTAAGGGACGGTCGAGTTGAATACTAAAATGTTTATTTAATTTTTGTGCTGCTCTGCAGTTCTTAGGATACTGTTGACTCGCAGAGCCTGACGCACAAAACCGAAGTATGCGCCAGAAAGCACGTGGAGACCGTTGGGTGCCCAATGACTAGTCAAACCACTTATAGCTGCACCAAGCAGTAAGACAAGATCGGTGAAACATGCGTCCGGGTTCGTTACCATAATCAATGCCGGGAGTATGATAAAACAATGTTCAAAATGATTTCAGAGGTGTTATGGCAGATTTCAAATAATTCACTTTGCCCCACCTGTGAAAAACTCGGTGCCTCGGTAGAATTCGAACCCACGACAGCAAGAGGAGACTTTAGTACAGCCAACGCTCTAATCATCTGAGTTACGAGGCCCCATGGGAAGACGTAATTTTAATCACAATGATGGAGGGGCGATCACCGATCGTTCTCACGGAACTTACTCGTTCCGTTGAGCCTTACGGGCTCTCTTTCGAGTCTGACCACCAGCCGCACAGGGGCGCGCGATATAGGCAGAATGGTGTTACTGACAAAGACAAGGGGGACTCCAATGACCATTTATGGATTACTAGCCGTCGTCAGCCAGTCATGTCCAACCGGTGAGCGCTACTCTACCATTGTATATTCCAGATCGAAATCGACAGGAAAACAAATCCGTGACTCAGTGGCTAGGAGCGTTGAACTTCTAACTAGCAAGTCGCGAATTGGAGCCCCAGGCGTTCCACACCTCGGGGCTGGGCATGGCTGACTGGCGACGTCCAGTAAGCCACAAATGACCATCTCAGTCGCCCTAGTCTTTGTTGGTGATAACAGTCAATTTATTCACATTTCGGTCAAGGTTACCCGTTCAATCTGCTGTAACGTCGGAAATACACCAAATCTGATACAGTAAACTAACGGCCCAAACAGCGTTTCCTAAGTAATGCATCTAGAATCCACCAGATGACTACCAGGTTCACGTAATTCAGAGGTCGCTGATCAGATTTCAAATAATTCTCTCTGACCCAATTGTGAAAAACTCGATACGAGTTGGGCGGGTAAACTCGACCCAAATGTGATTAAACTCGCGTCGTTCGATGGGGCCTCGTAGTTCAGATGGTTAGAGCGTTGGCTGTATTAAATTCTTCTCTTGCTGTCGTGGGTTCGAATCCCACCGAGGCACCGTAAATGGACCGTTGCTTCCTTTTAAATTTATCCTGTAATCCGTCTTACTATTATGAGATCACCTGTCTTCGTCAGTTTCGAGAAGCCTGTTTCAGTATCTTGCATGAGAGAGACAGAGAGATGACAAAGACAAAAAGTGACACCTTTAGCGTGAACAGGGTTTTATTAAGAAGTGAGCTAATATACCATAAGTTGATGAGACCAATAAAAAGCTAACTGTCATCCAATCAGAGGGTCGCTTAATGTGCTGACGTTTCTTTGCGTCTGGTACTGAAAATGTGACATGCATATTTTGACTCGTGCTCAGGTCGAAATGGTTGTCGTCATTCCCATATCGAGTGGCGAGAGCCCGATCGGTAGCGATCACAAACCGCTTTTTTCCCAGAACAGATGCAGTGCGATCAGCTAGTGCCCTTCATGAATGGTAAGAAAAGTTTATCCAATGGATTTTGAGCGGGTGGGATTTCGGCGTTACATGCAGTGGGTCTTATCAGTAGGTAAGTCGGTTGACATCCGAAAAGATCCGAAACCGCGGTAAATAACTGAACCGCAGGTAGTAAAAGTAATGTAGGAGTGAGCGAACCGGATGGCAGAGGAGGTGTATCTTGCAGGCAAAAGGAGCTGTACTGTGTAAAGTACATGCGAGAAGCAATCTCGCATGTAGCGTTGAGCGAGATTTAGTGATGAAGCCTCCACAGCCTGCAGTTCACGTGATCGTGAAGTGTTCGTTACAACTGGCCTACAGGAAGCCTCAACAAATGTCACATTTGACCAAGGTACAACGAAGCAAAACGGATGCGTTGGGCTAAAAATGCGTCTCCTGGATAGAACAGTGGCAGCAAGTTGTCTTCTCTGATGAAAAGAAATTTAACTCTGGAAGGCCCGACTCCTGGAGTAGACGGTCATTCGAAGGTCTGGGAAGGTTAGAATTGGTGTTTTTACAAGGAAAGCAAATTCTCAGTCATGCATTCATAAAACCTCTTCCTATGTCCTGCTACAGCGGTGGACATGTAGTGTTTCAGCAAGAAGCCTGTAGTTTACGCACGGTCCAGTGGACTGGAACGTGTCTACGAGTCAAGCAACCTGAGGTTGTTTCCTGGCCGCCTTTGATCCCCCGTCTTAGTGTAACTGCGAATCTATGAGAACCGTTGTCCATACATTTGTATTGGGGTGAATGGACTAAAGAAGGCTATACAAAAGGCGGAAAATTGTTAAGTTGAAAGGGGTCTTGAACGTTTGACTAGTAGCGCGAAAAAACGACTACGTTTTTTGACATCCAAACAGTGGCACAATCTGAGGGGCTTTGAAATTTCAGAGAAACCAACTTTAGTCCATTCTTATATCCTGATATTGACCCGTTTTGCAACAAAGCCTTGCTTACATTGAGGGTTGTCAAATTTTACTCTCTCATACAAAAAACGGATTGACCAACCAGATGTCGCCGAGAATTTGATGGAAAATGAACTGGACTCATAATTTTAGACAGACTTTACACTAACAAAGTCGAAAATTCCCTAGGAAATCGTGGCCACAAGTTAGTTTCTTATAATTTCTTTTCCGGATACTTTGACATCTTCAAAATAAGCATTTTGTACCTCAGACTATTCCTGTTTAAAATGAGGCTGCAGCTTAAGGGAGATTTTAACTGTTTCATTTGCGTATAGGCGCAAACCCTTATCTGAGAGTTTTCCAATCTGGCATATTAGAGAAAAAAGGTTCAGTGCTCTTCTCGAGAGTCATGCACGCAACACCGTTATGGACCTAAGAAATAAACAAGACTGAGGGTCGTGTTCGCGTAAGCCCTAGGAATTGCAGCTTTTTATATTCGAACTACTGCATGCTTCCTCCTGGCAGTCGATTTCGAGGGACGGCTATTTCCCTCCGCAAGATTGTAATGTACTGCCGATCAGCAAAATCCCCTCTTATATACGCGAAAAGAGAAATGCCCATAACCTACCCCAAGTTGGACTGTCGCCTCTTTTCGCAAATTCGCTGGAAAGCAAGCGTAGGATAGACTCGGTTCCGCCCTCGAGCAGGGCGTGGATCCTGTGTTGAAACGCCCATTTTGCTGGGTGCAGTTGAGCGTAAAATTCACGCTGTCGCGAAAATCGATCAACGACATGGTTCAGGGAATAGGTGCTGAAAGAGTGGGTTAGGAATACTCGCGGTTACAAGACAGTGAGAAATAGTGCCATTCATCTGAGGCGAACAGTGCCTTTACGTTGCCCTCACCCCGTGATATCACTTCAGAGCCTGAGTGCTCAAGTTTATCTTTAAACTGTCACAGAAGGGAGAGGGGACGGGGCTTTCAGGTGGATCGAAGGTCAGCAGATGTAGGTGAGAAGTAGGAAACAACGGGGAAAGCGGCCTGTCCACTGTCTGCGTGAGGGTTGCTGGAGGGAAAGGCACTTCCTCAGACCAACTTTTTGTTGTAGTCAATATGAAAACAAACGTTAGTGCTATTTGATGTTGTTCTGGTCTCTGTGTACTTATCTAGCGTCTGGTCAATCCCTTCGGCATATCAGTTTCTCTGAAGACGACTGAGATTGGGCTGGAGGTAAAATTTGACAGCTCGAGTGAATTTCGGCTTTCTGAGTATCGGATGATGCTTTTAAGGCGGTTGAAGCAACTGTCCCTGGCGGTAATCCCTTTGGGTAGGTTCAGGGAAGAGTCGAGGTTTTATAAAAAGCAGCTAGAGAATTTCATTGTGAGTGGTTATGCCACACTCAGTAAGAAAGAAACCCTCTAATGCTAGTGTTTTGGCTCAAAATGCATATTCCGTTGGTCACTTTCCTTGGAGGAGACTGAAGATTCCGCCTTAGCTTGCTGCCGTAACCTGTCGGAAGCAAGTCTTTTAACTGGCAAGCGAAAATATCCTGATGTCGTTTTTTGGAGGCGTCAATGTCTTGCATGCCCTAGAAAACAGTGCGAAAATAAGTATCTATACATAGTTCTGTCTTACGATAGAGATCTTTCAGCGCTCCGAGTGGTTCTCCACATAAGTCCAACAGTTTGCTTGACAGTGTTCTCCAAACTCCTTATAAGGTTAATTTAAGTTGAACATCAGGTGATGGAGGACCCCGATTAACCGGGTCCACAGCCAATCAGGGATTCACATAAAGTATTGAGAAACCAACCACATGTCTTGCCGCTAATTCAAACCTTTTATTTCGGTGGCGTCCAATCTCATTCGATCAGTCAATGTCCGCGATTAGGATTCAGTTAGACAGGGCTGAGGGACTAGTCCACACATTCCACAGACGGTCTGCTCGTCATAAGTTTAGTCGGGTAATCTGAACAAGCCTATAATGAGTGCCACAGCTCGAGGGGACAAGTGGGCGCGCCAGATAGACGCCGATGATGGTACTGAGGCGTTATCTAATAGAAGAGACTGGATACTGGGACAGCGACAACAGGAGTAGACGGCACAGAGCGTGCACGTAATGCAGATGAAGAGCGATAATTATTGTTAATTTTGA